CTGAATTTTCGAAATATCGAAATATCCAAAGTTGAAAAATCGAAAACTCTAAAATCGAAAAATTCTATTTAGAAAATTCGAATATCGAAAAATCGAAAATTCGAATTTCGAAAATTGAAAAGTCGAAAAATTGAGAAATCAAGAAATCGAAATATGAGAAGTCCAAGAAATCGACGAATCGACACCCTAAAATTAAAACGTCGAAAATATTGAAAAATCAATAAGCCGTGAAAGGATAAATCGAAAAATTGAAATATCAAACAGTAAAAAAATAGGTAAAATTGAAAAATCAGAAAAATAATATTTCAAAAAACCAAAAATTCAAAAATCGAAAAACTGAAAAACTAAAAAATAGAGAAACCGGGAAATCGAAAAATTTAAATTTAAAAAATCGAAAAATTGAAAAATCGAAACATCAAAATTTTGGAAAATCGGAAAATCAAAAAACTGAGAAATCAAAAAATCGAAACATGCACCATTTGGAAATCGAAGCATCAAAACATCGAGAAGTCGAAGAAATGCAAAATCGAAAAATTTAAAAGTGGAAAAATCGAAATAGCCCAAAATGGAAAAATCAAAAATTAAAATTTGAAAAAATGAAAATTTAAATTAAAAAATAATAGTAAAATAATCGAAAAATTGAAAAATCGAAGAAAAATTGAGGAATTGAAAACCTGAATATCGAAAAACAAGAAATCCAGAAGTCGAAAACCCGAAACATCGAAAAATCGGGAACTCGAGAAATGAGAAAATTAAAATATTGAAAAACCAAAAAATATAATAGTCGAAAATTCGGAAAGTCGAAAAATCGAGTAATAGAAAAGTCTAAAAATCAAAAAATCCAAAAATCGAAAAGATAGAAATGTCAAAAATTGATATATTAAAAATTCGAAAAATTTTGAAACCGAAAGATGAAGAGTCCAAAAATTGAAAAATTGTAAAATTGAAATATTGGCAAATAGAAAAAGCGAAATTTTGAAAATTCAAGAAATTGAAGAATCAAAAAATTGAAAAATCCCAAAAATTATAAAAAATAGGAGAATCGAAGAAGTGAAGAATTAAAGACTTTAAAAATCAAAAAATGAAAAATCCCAAAACTGTAATATCGAAAAATTGAGAAATCTAGACATCGAAAAACGAGAAATCAAAAAATCGAAACATCCCCATTTGAAAATCGAAGCATCAAAATATCGAGAAATCGAAAGTCGAGAAATCGGGAAATCTAAAAATGGAGAAATTGAAATAGCCCAAAATCGAAAAATTAAAATTTGAATAAATGAAAAATTTAAATTGAAAAAAAAAAAAATAAAACAATCGAATAATTGAAAAATCGAGAACCCGAGAAACCAAAAAATCGGAAGAAAAGAATTGAAAATTTGAAAATCGAAAACCGAGAAATCGAGATGTCGAAAAATCGAACCATCGAAAAGTTGGAACCTCGATAAATGGGAAAATTAGAATTTCGAAAAACCAAAAAATGTAATAGTCGAAAAGTCAGGAAGTCAAAAAATTCGAGTAATAGAGAAATCGAAAAATCAAAAAGTTCAAAAATTGAATAGTTAGAAACGCCAAAAAAATTCAAATATTGAAAAATCGAAACATTTGAAAACCGTAAGATCGAAAAATTGAAAAATCAAAAAATCGAAGAATTGGAATATGAAAAATTCGAAACAATAATAAAATCTTTCGGAAAGTCAAAAAATCGAACATTGAAAAATCGAGAACCCCAGAAACCAAAAAATCGGAGAGAAAAATAACTGGGAAATCGAAAAATCGAAGAATGGAAAAGTTGAAAATCGAAGAATAAAAAAATTGAAAATTTGAATATGGAAAAATGGAAAATCGAAAAATAGAAAAATTTAAAATTTGAAAACTGAATTTTCGAAAAATCGAAATATCCAAAGTTCAAAAATTATAAACTTTAGAATCGAAAAGTTGAATTTAGAAAATTCTAAAATCGCAAAATCAAAATTTCGAAATTTCGAAAACTAAAAAGCCGAAATGTCCAAAAATCGACAAGCCGAAAAATCCAGAAATCGAAATATCAGAAAACCAAGAAATCGACAAACCGACAGCCTAAAATTAAATATCGAAAATATTGAAAAATCCAGAAATGAAAAAATTTCCAAAAGTATTGGAAAACCATTGAAAAACCGAGAAGCCAGGAAATGGAAAAATCGAAAAATTAAAATGTCAGACCGCAAAAAAATCTTAAATTCGAAAAATCGAAAAAAGTAATATTTAAAAAAAATGAAAAATTGAAAAATCGAAAAACTGAAAAACCAAACAAAGAGAAATCGGGAAATCGAAAAATTTAAATTTAAAAAATCGAAAAATTGAAAAATCGAGAAATGAAATCTTCCAAAACTGAAATGTAGAAAAAATTGGAAAATCGGAAAACTGAAAAATCGAAACATCAAAAATTGGAAAATGGGAAAATCGAAAAACCGAGAAATCAAACTCGAAAAATGGGAAAATTAAAACATTGAAAAACCAAAAACTGTAGTAGTGGAAAAGTCGAGACGTCAAAAAATCGAGTAATAGAGAAGTCGAAAAATCAAAAAATCCAAAAATCGAACAGTCAGAAATGCCAAAAATCGAAATACTGAAAAATCGAAAAATTTTAAAATCGAAAGATGAAGAATCGAAAAATAGAAAAATCGAAATTTTGAAAATTCGAGAAATTGAAGAATGCTAAAAATCATTAAAAAATTGGAGAATCGGGAAATGAAAAACCGAAAACTTTAAAAATCAAAAAACTGAAAAATCCCAAAACTGAACTATCGAAAAATTGAGAAATCGGAACATGCCTCATTTGAAAATCGAAGTATCAAAAGATCGAGAAATCGAATATCGAGAAGTTGAAAATTAAAATTAAAAAATAAAAATTTAAATTAAAAAAATAACACTAAAATAATCGAAACATTGAAAAATCGAAGAAAAATTGAAGAACTGAAAATCTGAAAATCGAAAACCGAGAAATCGAGAAGTCTAAAAACCGAAACATCGAAAAATCGTGAACTCAAAAATGAGAAAATTAAAATATTAAAAAACCAAAAAATGTCACAGTCGAAAAGTCGAGAACTCAAAAAATAGAGTAATAGAGGAGCTAAAAAATCAAAAAAATCAAAAATCGAAGAGTTAGAAATGCCAAAAATTGGAATATTGAAGAATCGAAAAATTTTAAAACCGAAAGATGAAGGAAGAATCGAAAAATTGAAAAATCGTAAAATTGAAATATCGGTCAATAAAGAAATCGGAAATTTTGAAAATTCGAGAAACTGAAGAATCGAAAAACTGAAAAAAATCCCTAAAACCACTAAAAATTGGAGAATCGAGGAATTGAAAAATCTGTAACTTTAAAAATCAAAAAACTGAAAGATCCCAAAACTGAACTATTGAAAAATTGAGAAATCGAAACTTGGAAAAATCGGAAAATTCAACCAAAAAATGTAATACTCAAAAAGTCGGGAAGTAAAAATATCGAGTAATAGAGAAGTCGAAAAATCAAAAAATCCAATCGAATAGTTAGAAATGCCAAAAATTAAAATATTGAAAAATCGAAATATGTATTTTAAAAACGAAGATGAAGACTCGAAAAACTGAAATATCGGCAAATAGAGAAATCGAAATTTTGAAAATTCGAGAAATTGAAAAATCCCAAAAATCATTAAAAAATTGGAGAATCAAGGAATTGAAAAATCGAAAACTTTAAAAATCGAAAAACTAATAAATTCCAAAACTGGCAATATCGAAAAACTGAGAAATTTAGAAACCGAAAAAACGAGAATCAAAAAATCGAAACATTCCCCATTTGAAAAACCAAGCATCAAAAGATCGAGAAATCGAAAGTCGAGACGTCGAAGAATTGAAAAATCGGAAAATCTAAAAACGGAGAAATCGAAATAGCCCAAAATCCAAAATCAAAAATTAAAAATTAGGAAAATTAAAAATTTGAATTTAAAAAATAATAAAACAATCGAAAAATTAAAGACCGGAAAAAAGAGAGAGTTGAAAATCTGAAAATCGAAAACCGACAAATTGCGAACTCGAAAAACCGAGTTTCCACTCCCACTTCAGAGAAAGACAAAAAAATTCGATATTTCAACGGTCGATTCCGGAAAAACGGTTGAAGTTATCAAAGAAACGAGACCAGAAGTGAGTTCTAGAGCTCGAAATCTATAAGAAAATGTATTTAGTTACGTTTCAAAAATGTCAAAATTTGGCCGAAATTTGAAGAAGGAAAATTTTCACTTTTAAAAAAGTTGTCTAAAAATTGTGAAAAAATTCAGGGACGTAGAGCTCGACATGCTGATTCCAAAAATGTAGCGTGTTGGTGGTCACGGAGCAACATTTTCGAAAGAATAGGTGCGAAATGGGAATTTTTGAAAATTTTTAAAGCTACTTATGATTTGAAACACTCCTCCTCAGTGGCCAATGAAAATTTAAAGTTGTTAATTGGTTCATATTTGATACCTTTTATGTTATTAGCAGCTTCAACACAGTTTTGGGGAGGAGTGAATACTGACAAAAAATATTCATTTATTTCATCAGCACTGAATGTAGATAGATCAAATCCTTTAACTTTTTTAGAGAAACCCATAGTCTTTTTTTATTTGAAGTATTCCTTTCATAATCTAAGTACTCTTTGTTCGGTTTCAGTGCAGCAACCGTAGAATTTCTTAGATGTTTAGAAAATAGCCAGTGCTGTGCAGATTTTGTTTGTTTATACAAACTTAATGCGCGACTTCTTTGTTTCAACAATTTCTTAATAGAAGGGGTTAAAACAATGCGTTAAAACATCTTAGAAAATATATGCAAACACTACGTCATTGAATCCCTACCGTTGTAAAAATTCTTATATAAGGTTAACTTTCCGATGCAAAATTTATGTTGCAGTTGCATCAGATCCTGCTCTGTAACCTTATAAACATTATAATCAGCTTTACAGTATTGCGTAAAATTCCGCTCAGAGCTTCTTCATTCTTGTTTTATTCGCCATGAACTACACAGTACTTCTGACTCTAATCCTGCAGTTGTTAGTGCCCATGGTGGTGAGACTAATCGCTTATTGTTTTTAGTTTTAATTCGAATGACATTCATTCCTTCCTTAATTTTAATAATAATGAAAAAACTTTCAGAGTTTAAAAAATATATTTGTAGTCACTGCTACACGTGTTTTCAAATTTATGTTAAGTAAGGGAGATTTATTAAATCTCCCTTACTTAACATAAATTTGAAAACACCATTGTTAAATCAGGTATAAATTCAGGAATAGCTATGTAAAACCCCAGTTTCTCTTCTGCCTGAAGACGGTACTGTGTACCGAAACACGTGTAGCAGTGACTACAAATATATTTTTTAAACTCTGAAAGTTTTTTCATTATTATTAAAATTAATATGGAGTTTAAACACGTATCAGCCTCATCAATACAAACATTCATTCCTTCCACTTACTTATTTTATTTTTAATTCCCATTATTAAAGTAAGCACTTTTCTTCTTTACTCCAGCTAACTTCATTCGGTAACTCTTCAACAAAAATGGGCTTGATGAATAACTGCTCCTTCGAACACAACTTATGCAACAAAACGGGACGCGATATTAGTCGAGAACAAAAACTGAAGAAAATTGTGGATCGCTATCCAGTTCTGCACTCCTTTTTCACCGATGGAACTGTCTTCGAAGCAGGAGAGCCACCTGGTGATTTCACAAGAGATGGAGGTATGTACGTCAGACCACTGGCAAAGTTTAAGTTCCTTCCGCTGTGCCAACTGTCAACTATAAACTTAAACCCAATGTAAATGTAGATTAATAAATAATATTCATGTTCAGTGATTAATCTTGTTCCGTACGAAGAGTACCGAAGTGTATGTTGGACAGAAGATGTGACCTATGTTCCTTCCGAGGTGAAAACTGTCGACTCTGTACGCAAAATTATTGTTAACGATGATACAAATAAACAGGTCGTAAAAGTTAAAATATGCAGGTGAGTGTAAATGTAATTGTTCTGCCAGCACATTCCACTACTTAAAATTTTTCATTGCGTATATTAATGTATTTTTTTTAATATAGAAAATCCAGATACAAAAACCACTGCACGAGTTTGACAGGTTTTGATTCTTATCGGGAGGCTAGATGTGAACAGAGATGGAGTACTATTATACTGTTAGCAATAGATGAAGAGACTGAAACTCTTGAGCACGTCCGTGTGAAAATACCAAGTGCCTGTGTATGTACCGTCAAGCATACAGAACATTAAATTTTCGTTGACAGCTGTTGACATTTTAAAAACTCACTGGAGTCGTCGAAACAGTACTGTCACGTGATATTTGGTGTAAAAAGAGGTGTTGATGGATTTTCAAAAAGTGTAATTTTTAGTTATTTGCAGAAATTGTATGAGCTAATGTTTTAAGGAGAACTAATTGAAATTGTAATGTAAGGGGATATTAATATGGTAACAAGGAGATAAAAATTTATTGCTGCTGTATGTTAATATTTCTGTTTGTTACATGTTGCATATTTAAATAAATTGCTTGTTTGTGTTTTATATGGCCTTTTTTTTCTGGTAAACTCAGCTAGGTTTCAATAGTTGTTTTATGAAGTAGGTACGTCAACATTCATTGTCATATTTTAAATTCTTCCAGTTCAAGTAGGTTCGCAACACTGAAATATTTGGCAGTTATATCATAAGCAGAAATAAAATTAATATTTAGAATGACAAGACTGGGGGTGGGCGGGGCTAGTACTTTATAAAACATGACTGATTTTGACATTCTCAATTTTTTTCAACTATTTTCGAAAATTAGCTTGCCATTTTCTTGTAGAATTACACATCCAGATATCATTTTCGGCTTCGTTTCTTGGAACATTTCTATCGTTCTTCCAAAATCGTCAACTGAAATATATCATTTTTTATAGTTCCAGTAGGATATAGTAATACAAAAAATTTAGGATTAGGGCTTTTTTTTAATTTTTGCACATCCTAGATTCTATTAGTTTCCATTCCCACTCCATACAAGGAAATAATTAGCCCCGCCCACCCACCCTGCGTTGATTTCATTGATTAATTTTATCCGGTGTGGATGTAATGAATGATCTTATTCTGAGCAGAAATAAAATTAGTCTGTAGAATGACTAGACTGGGGGTGGGCGGGGCTAGTATTTAATAAGATAAGACTGTTTTTGGCAGATGGCATATCTTCCAAGAAAATAAGGGCGGGTGGGTGGGGCTAGCATTTTATAAGAAATGACTGATTTTGACATTTTCACCCCTTTTCAACTATTTTCGAAAATTAGCTTGCCATTTTCTTGTAGAATTACACATCCAGATATCATTTTCGGCTTCGTTTCTTGGAACATTTCTATCGTTCTTCCAAAATCGTCAAATGAAATATATCATTTTTTATAGTTCCAGTAGCAAATAGTAAAACAAAAAATTCTATATTAGCGCTTTTTTTTTTGCACATCCTAGATTTTATTATTTTCCATTCCCACTCCATTAAAGGACATAATTAACCCCGCCCACCCACCCTGTCTTCATTTCAGTGATTAATTTTATCCGGTCTTTATGTAATGGATGATCTTATTCTGAGCAGGAATAAAATTAGACTTTAGAATGACAAGACTCGGGGTGCGCGGGACTAGTACTTAATATGATAAGACTGTTTTTGGCAGATGGCATATCTTCCAAGAAAATAAGGGCGGGTGGGCGGGGCTAGCATGTTATTGATATGACTGATTTTGACATTTTCAATCTTTATTCAACCATTTTCGAAAATTAGTTTGTCATTCTGTTGTAGATTTACACATCCAGATATCATTTTCGGCTTCGTTTCTTCGAACATTTCTATCATTCGTCCAAAATCGTCAACTGAAATATAGCATTTTTTACAGTTCCAGTGGCAAATAGTAAAACAAAAAATTTTGGATTAGCGCTCTTTTTTACATTTTGCACATCCTAGATTCTATTAGTTTCCATTCCCACTTCATAGAAGGACATAATTAGCCCCGCCCACCCACCTTGTCTTTATTTCAGTGATTAATTTCATCCGGTCTAAGTGTATGAATGATCTTACTCTGAGCAGAAATAAAATTAGTCTTTAGAATGACAAGACTGAAGGTGGGTGGGATTAGTACTTAATATGATAAGACTGGTTTTGGCAGATGGCATATGTTACTGTTAATGTCTAAATTTCTTGTTTATTGACGTAACTGTAAGTCATTTACATAACAATGTACATGATTTATTAAGTTGTAAATAAATATTATTATTATTATTATTATTATTATTATTATCTTCCAAGAAAATGAAGGCGGGTGGGCGGGGCTAGCATTTTGTAAGGAATGACTGATTTTGACATTTTCAACTTTTTTCAACTACTCTCAATGATTAGTTTGCCATTTCCTTGTAAATTTGCACATACACATATCATTTTCATCTTTGTTTCTTCGAACATTTCTATCGTTTTTCCAAAATCGTCAACTGAAATATAGCATTTTTTATAGTTCCAGTGGCAAACAGTAAAACAAAATATTTAGGCTTAGCACTTTTTTTACTTTTTGCACATCCTAGATTCTTTTAGTTTCCATTCCCACTCTATTGAAGGACATAATTAGCCCCGCCCACCCACCCTGCGTTCGTTTCAGTGATTAATTTTGTCCGCTCTGAATGTAATGAATGATCTTATTCTGAGCAGAAATAAAATCAGTCGTTAAAATCACAAGACTGGGGGTGGGCGGGGCTAGTAGTTAATACGATAGGACTGTTTTTGGCAAATGGCATATTTTCCAAGAAAATAAGGGCGGGTGGGCGGGGCTAGCATTTTATAAGAAATGACTGATTTTGACATTTTCGACTTGTTTTCAACCACTTTCGAAAATTAGCTTGCCATTTTCTTGTAGAATTACACATCCAGATATCATTTTCGGCTTCGTTTCTTGGAACATTTCTATCGTTCTTCCAAAATCGTCAACTGAAATATATTATTTTTTATAGTTCCAGTAGGAAATAGTAATACAAAAAATTTAGGATTGGGGCTTTTTTTTAATTTTTGCACATCCTAGATTCTATTAGTTTCCATTCCCACTCCATACAAGGAAATAATTAGCCCCGCCCACCCACCCTGCGTTGATTTCATTGATTAATTTTATCCGGTCTGGATGTAATGAATGATCTTATTCTGAGCAGAAATAAAATTAGTCTGTAGATGACTAGACTGGGGGTGGGCGGGGCTAGTATTTAATAAGATAAGACTGTTTCTGGCAGATGGCATATCTTCCAAGAAAATAAGGGCGGGTGGGTGGGGCTAGCATTTTATAAGAAATGACTGATTTTGACATTTTCACCCTTTTTCAACTATTTTCGAAAATTAGCTTGCCATTTTCTTGTAGAATTACACATCCAGATATCATTTTCGGCTTCGTTTCTTGGAACATTTCTATGGTTCTTCCAAAATCGTCAACTGAAATATATCATTTTTTATAGTTCCAGTAGCAAATAGTAAAACAAAAAATTCTATATTAGCGCTTTTTTTTTTGCACATCCTAGATTTTATTAGTTTCCATTCCCACTCCATTGAAGGACATAATTAACCCCGCCCACCCACCCTGTCTTCATTTCAGTGATTAATTTTATCCGGTCTGTATGTAATGGATGATCTTATTCTGAGCAGGAATAAAATTAGTCTTTAGAATGACAAGACTCGGGGTGGGCGGGACTAGTACTTAATATGATAAGACTGTTTTTGGCAGATGGCATATCTTCCAAGAAATAAGGGCGGGTGGGCGGGGCTAGCATGTTATTGATATGACTGATTTTGACATTTTCAATCTTTATTCAACCATTTTCGAAAATTAGTTTGCCAATTTCTTGTAGATTTACACATCCAGATATCATTTTCGGCTTCGTTTCTTCGAACATTTCTATCGTTCTTCCAAAATCATCAACTGAGATATAGTATTTTTTATATTTCCAGTAGCAAATAGTAAAACAAAAAATTTTGGATTAGCGCTCTTTTTTACATTTTGCACATCCTAGATTCTATTAGTTTCCATTCCCACTTCATAGAAGGACATAATTAGCCCCGCCCACCCACCTTGTCTTTATTTCAGTGATTAATTTCATCCGGTCTGAGTGTATGAATGATCTTACTCTGAGCAGAAATAAAATTAGTCTTTAGAATGACAAGACTGCGGGTGGGCGGGGCTAGTACTTAATATGATAAGACTGTTTTTGGCAGATGATATATATTCCAAAAAAATAAGGGCGGGTGGGCGGGGCTAGCATTTTATAAGATATGACTGATTTTGACATTTTCAACCTTTTTTCAACCATTTTCGAAAATTAGCTTGCCATTTTCTTGTAAATTTACACATCCAGATATCATTTTCATCTTTGTATCTTCGAACATTTCTATAGTATTTCCAAAATCGTCAACTGAAATATAGCATATTTTAGAGTTCCAGTGGCAAATAGTAAAACAAAAACTTTAGGATTAGCCTTTTTTTTAGTTTTTGCACATCCTAGATTCTATTAGTTTCCATTTCCACTCCATAGAAGGACATAATAAGGCCCGCCCACCCACCCTCCGTTTATTTCACTGATTAATTTTATCCGGACAGTATGTAATGAATGAACTTATCCTGAGCAGAAATAAAATTAGTCTTTAGAATTACAAGACTGGGGGTGGGCGGGGCTAGTATTTAATGAGATAGACTGGTTTTGGCAGATGGCATATCTTCCAAGAAAATAAGGGCGGGTGGGCGGGGCTAGCATTTTATAAGAAATGTCTGATTTTGACATTTTCAACTTTTTTTTCAAGAATTTTCGAAAATTAATTTCCCATTTTCTTGTAGATTTACACATCCAGATATCATTTTGGGCTTCGTTTCTTCAAACATTTCTATCGTTTTTCCAAAATCGTCAACTGAAATATAGCATTTTTTATAGTTCCAGTAGCAACTAGTAAAACAAAAAATTTTAGATTAGCGCTTTTTTTTTCTTTTTGCACATCCTAGATTTTATTAGTTTCCATTCCCACTCCAGAAAAGGAAATAATTAGCCCCGCCCACCCACCCTGCCTTCATTTCAGTGATTAATTTTATCCGCTCTGAATTTAATGAATGATCTTATTCTGAGCAGAAATAAAATTAGTCTTTAGAATGACAAGACTGGGGGTAGGCGGAGCTAGTACTTGACAAGATAAGACTGTTTTTGACAGATGGCATATCTTCCAAGAAAATAAGGGCGGGTGGGCGGGGCTAGCATTTAATAAAATATGACTGATTTTGACATTTTCAACATTTTCAACCACTTTCGAAAATTAGTTTGCCATTTTCTTGTAGATTTACACATCCAGATATCATTTTGGGCTTCGTTTCTTGGAACATATCTATCGTTCTTCCAAAATAGTCACCTGAAATGTAGCATTTTTTA